CATTGGTATAATACTATGAATCTATAACGAGTAAGAGTTTGTGGTCATTGGTAGAATACTATGAATCTATAACGAGTAAGAGTGTGTGGTAATTGGTATAATACTATGAATCTATAACGAGTAAGAGTGTGTGGCCATTGGTATAATACTATGAATCTATAAAAGTGAGAATTATCGCATGTTGAGAAAAGACACGATTGTTTGTTTTAGTTTGTTTCTCATAATGTTTTTGTTCTTTTCAGACCGACCACTAGGTCTGAAAAATGCTGGAAGTGGAATGACAGAGTGTTTTGACACGCAATGTATAGATTACATAATGTTAGAACATAACACGGGTATTCGTGAGTGCCAAACAATATAATGCTTGGCTGGCAATGGAGGTAATTTGTTACAATGGAAAAAATACCTGAAGAACTAAAAAAAAACCGAAATACAAAACATAACTGTATTCCTTGTGTTGAGGGCGCTCACAGGGATGATTTGAGATGTAAATTTGATTAGATTAGTTGTAGTACACAAGAGGGTGACTTCGTGACCTCCATATATTAACAATAGGCTGATTGTTTTTTTTCATAAAATAAGAAATACTTGTAGATAGTTTTGTATTTCACAGTATGGTGCTGCTGTTCAGTGTTTTAATGTATTTGATGAAACTATGTGCCTATTATGTATTACGTAAGACTAAACGTAAGCATTTTGAACTTGAATAGGAAAGGAAAAAGCATGTATTGTAATACAGTGTATAGTATTAATTTATGAATTAGTTTAGAAATTAACATCCAATGAGTGAGATCACTGTACAAGAAGACTGATTAGCCAAAGATATGATGTAATCATCAACGATACTCAAACCAAAATAGTCGCGCATACAATTGAATGAATTGTTTATTACTTCTTTTTCTACAGAATCACTGTAATGTGTATTACAACTCATAGCATATCTGTTCTATGCAGTACCACAGAAAATGTGAAAAATATGACTTGGACACATTTTAAAACTGATGTTTTGTGATTTTCTCAATTACATACTTCTGAGATTGTCTAATTTACATGGCCTTGTTTTATCCGAATTAAAAATGACTAATTTAATTAGTAAAAGCTGAAATAATAATGCACTTTTTCGGGTTAACATAATTACATGAATATTATGTTACTCAGTTTTACAAATAATTTAAGCAGCAACTACAATTGTAGTGTGATATAGCAGTGAACAAGACATGAATGAATTTATGACAAGATGCATCCTTACTACTTTGGAATACAACAATCACAAACTCAGATTTGGTTATAGGCTCATTTTATTCATGTCTAATATTTGTCTTTATATTCTTTTTTTTTTACTCAACTGATTTCACCATTTTAAGTGCCATTGTACATGTCAACAAATATAATATAATGTAATATTAGATCTGGGAAGAGACTGGTATATTGCATCTTTTTTCATGAAGTGCAATCTTATACCCGAAATATCAGATTTATAAAATGACCAGTGTATGTCTTCATATTTGCTGTGCGGGTTCAAAAATCAAGAAACATATAAAACAAAACTCCATTGTTCCCATTCCAGTTTATTTTATTTCCCTTTTTATATTAATTTATACATTTATTCATGAATATATTTTTTGTCTTAGCCCTCAGCCATGACTTGCTTCAAATCACCATATCAGCTTGTCAATGATGTATTTTTGGGAAAATGTGCACAAAATGTAAGCATTTTATGCTAAATCACAGTTGTTGCTAGGAGACAACTACATGCACTATAAAAACATCATTAGTGGATGGAATAAACTTATTTGTTTCCTTATGAATAAACTACTAGTATTTTTACCAAAATGACATCTTTAAATATTTTATCCCCTCTTTTCTCACCTTGAAATTTCAAGGCATAATGTATAAGCATAATCTTATTGGTCGATAATGTTGTTATGCACCCACTCAGATATAACATGCCATAAATATACCAGCTGTAATGCTAATAGCAACTTACGCTGTCAATCAATTTCCTGATGTACACTTTCTTAAATACTGCAATATATGAAAATACTAACGAAGTCATTATTGACAAAACACACTTGTTAGCTCTTAGATTAATGCAGCTTGTATTTGGAGGTTTCTACAGTGATTACGAATTCATTGATATATATATATGTTGTTCATTTCAATGTTGTCAGATCTGTTCCAGGACCAATGTTGATAATTACCATGAAAACATAACCTGCCCTGACATGAATTGCCATGTCTATTTCAGCATGCACACTTCATGCAACACCTTCACCATGTTTATATAACATTATATCCTATTCATGCTGTCCATGTCTTTTTTGACACTATCACCATCTAGCAATGCAATTCATTGCACACAGTCTAGTGGTTACAATAGCTACAGTTTGTTATCTTAGAAAGAGAACTGACATCGTTGAAAACCATGACATTCACTGATTATTCTATGGATCGCATTCCAACAACAGCATTTATCAGTCTAGCCTCAATGTCATCACCAATCTCTTCATACCTAAGAGATAAACATAAGAGAAATGTGAATATGATATCAAAACCACATTCTCATACTTATTGGCTATTTAAGGTAATTACAGAAGCGCTCGATTATGATGAATTTCAACATTAGAATGGCCTCTATTTGGCCATCTTGAATGTGATAATCAAACAAATATATGCACATTTCAATTAAAGATCAGAAGATATCATTAGAAAATGAACAATATGTATAGTATGTACATGTATACCAAAAAGTATTTACCAAAAATGACATAAATATTCATCAAAATTAGATAATTTAAGATATCATCACGAAATGAACAAATTTGAGAGAGGACCACACGTAGTATCTATAAATGTAATATCAAAGCAATTGGATTTGCGGTTTTTAACAAGTCAAAAATATTACTATTTACCAAAAATGACAAAAATATTCACCAAAATTAGGGAATTTAAGATATCATCACAAAATGAACAAATCTCAGAAAGGTCCACATGTAGTATCTATAAATGTAATATCAAAGCAATTGGATTTGCGGTTTTTAACAAGAAGTCAAAAATATCACTTTTTACCAAAAATGACAAAAATATTCACCAAAATTAGGGAATTTAAGATATCATCACAAAATGAACAAATCTCGGAAAGGTCCACATGTAGTATCTATAAATGTAATATCAAAGCAATTGGATTTGAGGTTTTTAACAAGAAGTCAAAATTATCACAATTTACCAAAAATGACAAAAATATTCACCAAAATTAGAGAATTGAAGATATCATCATGAAATGAACAAATCTAAGAGGGGTCTACCCCAGGTACATACACACAAAGTATCAAAGCATTCAGGCTTGTAGTTTTTAAGAAGAAGTCGAAAAAGTAAAACATTGACATGGACAACGACGGATGCCGGATGCCAACAGTCAATCTCTCATATGATAAGCTCCGCTTGACAAAATCGACAGCGGAGCTAAAAAGTTTTAACTTGATTGTATGTATGAGGTATGTCATATGGCTCTGAAACAGCATTTTTTGACGAAAATGGCCGCCAGTTTGCCATTATGAATCTGATCTGAAAAGCAAAATGAAGAACATCAAAGTCTTTGTATGACCAAGGTATGTATCAAGGTTAAACAAAATCCATCTATACATGACCAGATCAATCTCCAAAAGAGGAGAAATAAAATTTAAACATAAAAATGGTTGCCATTCAGCCATCTTAAATCAGATTGTTAAATGGACGTGCATAAAATATATATATAAATGTATATGATGTATGTATTAAGTTTGAATTTGATCAGCCAAGACATGTCAGAGATAATGGTGGGCAAGCCTGGACGGACGAATGCACACCATGAAGGTCAATTTATAAGTCCTTGTTTTCAGACTATGTCCGAACAGGGACTAATAAATGTATCGATAAAATCATTTTTTTCCCTATGTGACAAAATAACTAATGTAATAAACCTATACTCACTGAGCTATGGGTGTTTTAAGTAAGGTATCAACTGAAGACAGTGATGTTGAAGCTGGTATACCAAGTGCATCTAGTACATTACACAGGTAATCTGTAAACAGAGGAAATCAAGTCAAGTAAAGCTTAGTTTCCTCATTATAGAACTGTATTATCAGTTGGTGTTCCAACAATAGATCTCACTTTAATTATAATTGTTAGTCACCAATATCTGCTGACAATTGCTTAGTGCCCTGCGTTGTGAGCTGTGGTACCATCAGTATCTGTTCTACATAATGATGCATGGTTGCCCTGGCGATAGATCCTATCCACTGATCCACTACTGTATCTTCTTCATGTTCACCTACAATAGATAAAGAAACAAGCCATGAATGTCACAGTCCCCGTTAGTTATCAAATTTAAGATATATAGTTTTGTTTATAGTAATATAGCTGGAATATAACCATGTCAGGAATATGATTTTTTAACATTAAAATGATTGACATTTGCATCTGATCATCAAACAAGTACTTGTCCATATTGAGAGATATTGCTCTGGAACAGCATTCAAAATCAGCCATTTTGAATACATGTATATCTATAACATGATGTACAATGAATATCTAAAATTTGAATATAATCAGTCAAAGCATTTAAGAGATATGACTCTAGAAGCCCAATCATTAAAACAAAATGGTCGCCAGTCAGCCATTTTGAATCCAATCTGAAAAATAAAATGACGTGCATCAGGAACCTGTAATGTCTAATGTATGTACCAAGTTTGAACGAAATCCATCCATAAATGCCAGAAATGCTTGATATTTGATGATTTTTTAGCACAATAATGGCTATCATTTGGCCATTTTGAATAGGATTGTCAAACCAATATATCTGTTTATCTATGACATGATGTATAATGAATATTTAAAATTTGAACATAAGTGAAAGCAAGTCAGAGATATGGCACGAGAACCACATTCATTAAAACAAAATGGCCGCCAGTCAGCCATTTTGAATCTTATCTGAAAAACAAAATTAATTGCATCAAGGTCCCATAATATCTAATGTATATACCCAGTTTGAACAAAATCCATCTGTAAACAGCCGAGAAATACTTGATTTTTAGGATTTTCTGGCACAAAAATGGCCGCCATTCCGCCATCTTGAATCAGATCGTAAAACAAAATGATGTGCATCAAGGTCCTATAATGTCTAATGTATATACCAAGTTTGAACAAAATCCATCTGTAAACAGCCGAGAAATGCTTGACTTTGATGATTTTTAGCACAAAAATGGCCGCCATTCGGCCATCTTGAATCAGATCGTGAAACAAATTGACGTGCATATGTATAATATCATGTATGATGTATGTGTGAAGTTTGATTGTGATTGGTCCAGGCATTTCTAAGATACAGGTCCAGACGCACGCACAGACGCATGCACGCATGCACACACACACACACATGTACGTACGCACGGACACACCAAGGTCAAAACATAAGTCCCCGTTTTCGGACTGCGTCCGAACGGGGACTAATTATTCATATTAAATTCATTTTTATTAAACCCTTTGAACGCCAACTTTTGTTTTCAACTAGCATCCTGTCAGCTCATGCAGTTCAGCAGTTTGAAATACCATAATCAAATTGACCTATATAATAGAAAGAAGGTGCAATAGAAAACTTGTTGTTTCATACACATTGAATCACAACTTGATATGAATACATGTAAATATGTGTAAAGTCTTATTGCAGTCAGTCAGGTGCATCAAAGAACTTTAGAACAGCATTCTTAAAAAAATGGCTACCATCAGCCATTTTGAAAAACTAAATGATGTGCAAGGTTCTATATTAATTCAATGTATGTCTCAAGTAAGAACCCAATCAGTCTAGAATGGCAGAAATACTTGATTTCATCTTTAAAATTGGACCATTCATTAGCCATCTTAGCGTAGTTTGAATGTGATAGGTCAATGTCATTGCACTATTTGAGTAGTTATTGTTATATAGTCCAGATTGATTGTATCACTTCAATAAAAACTGAACCGTGACACGATTTGTTTTTGATGAGTACATCTCAAACATGCATACAATGAAGACATTTAACACATGAATATTGTGACATTTATTCATACCTTGAGTATCAGGGAATGGCAACTTTCCCATCTGTAATGCCTTCTCTAGGGCTGTATTATCTTGAGTGGTAAAAGATTCTAGTTGCTGTGGTAACGTCATTAAGTACTGTCCAATCTATGTCAAATATGAATAAAGAGAATTTAAAAACTTATAAACTGAAGGGTTCGTTAAACACCTAACTGTTCCATAGGTACATGTAATCTGCTTGTAGATTAGCTTCTAGTGAGGCTTGCATTTATTCCATGATTTCCAGAATTCTTGTTACTTATGGCACTGTAGCAAAGTGAACTTGATATTCATAAACATATTGGCAATGTAACTATATTTAAGGGGTTAGCATACGTTCGCTGGTTCAATTTTTTGGCCTAAATTTACAGATTGAAACATACATTTTACCCACACATGTTATATACCATAATAAAGA